AGGGAGTCCCAGTTTGGGCACCTGAAGGCCCAAGGGTTCCAGGAAGAAACTGAGGTTGAGGGAAGGAAGGAAGGGGGTCTGTCGTCTGGGGAGCATTGAGGGGAGGAGCTGGAGAACCTGCGGAGAAGGAGCCCCTGCAGCCTCATATTCCCCTCCTCGTTGGGCCTGGGGCAGGGGTCCAGACTGGCCATACCAAAAGGCCTTTCACTTAGTGGTTTTCCAACTTGGGCCTGCGTCAAAATCACCTTTTCAAAGCACAAAACAGGGACTTGTTAAAGCCCAGATTGCTGAGTTTCTGATGCGGTAGATCTGGGGCTGGTCAAAAATGTGCCTTTCTAGCAAGTTCCCAGCTGATGCTGATGCTGCAGGTCACAAGTGGGATCCCACCTGAAGGACGGCTGACTCAGACGCCCATCTGTTCAGTCAGCTACGCGTCATGTAGAGGCAGTTATCAGGTAGCTTTCAGCTAGCTACCAGGCATAGAAAACCCAACATATAGTCCTCCATTCAACAGCCATTTAAAAACTGCCAGAGCCTATGTTGGGTGAATAAACCGACCCCCAACTTATTTCCCTTTGCCTCTGGAATGTGTTTGCTGAGTGTCTCGGATGTTGAGGAAATCCCCCAAGTTGCCAACCAAGAGAAAGAGACTGATGCTAACCCCACTCCAGGCCCTGCTGCTTGCAGAGAATAGAGAGCTCCCCACCCTAGCCCTGGAAGTTGGCCCTTCACTACTTACTTGCTGGTTCACACTTTCTTTGGTTTTACCTCAAAGGCCAATTTCTTGGGCTCTGGAGTAACCACTGAGGCCAAGAGTGAGAGTCCCCCTTCAGTGGAGAGAGAGGCCTTTGGGCCTTCAGGCAGGTGGGACCCAGGCTGCTGCCCCCCACCCCCATCCTGAGGGAAGATGATGGCCTGGGGCCATTTGCTCTCACATGATGTTGCTGGGCTGCTGCTACTGCTGTGCAAAAGGGCATAGGGACCCCTGGCAACCGTTGCCAAAGTGGGGATTTTCTTGGGGGATGGGACTAAGAGGGCGAAAGGAAGGTTGTGGGTGGGGTATGAAAGGCCTCAAGATCTGGTTGGGGGGGCACTCCTGGCTGTGTCTCCCGGAGGAAGAGCTGTTGGGCTCTGGCTTGGGGAGACAGAAGAGGATTAATTTGAGAAGCTCTTTCATACTAGAAAATAAAACAATAAACTAAACAGATTATTTGGTTGTAAAATCCAGCACCATTAAATAAAAACGATTATATTCTGACTCCTTCCTCAGGAGTCAGACACAGACTTCACAGATTTTATTAAATCTGTATGAAGAGACAAATGACCTGTGGCTAGGCAGTAACCTCCTTATTGCCCTCCCAGCCCTCAGTCTTGACACATCTAATCTTTCTAAAAACACAAATGTGGTCATGTGGTTCAGTTGCTCACAACTTTCCACGACTCCTTGTTGCCTGTGGGAGGAAGCCCCAGGTCTTGGACTTGGCATTCGAGGCACCCTGCTAGTCTCCAGCCGCACCTTGTGCCACTCCACTGCCTACACTCTGGCCTGACTGAGCTCGTGGGGTCCTTGTACCCCCAGCATCACACACACAACGCTTGGCTAGGAATGCCTTGTCCCTCCCCTCGTCCTACAAAACTCTCCTGAAGCTCCACCATTTCCTATCCCCTCTTGACCCCAGCACCTCCTTACCATGTGTACCCACTCCACTGAAGCCCTGTCATGGGTGTCTGTGCAAGGGCCCAAAGCTTCTTTCTGAGGAAATGGGTATTCTGAGAAGCAGATGCCAAGCCAGGAGTAAATGTGCAAGGATTTTATGAGGCAAGGTGCCCCGTGAGAGAAAATAGGGCGGGCAAATTGTGGTGGCAGTGTGACCCTGAGTGAGTGAGAGAGTGAGTGGAAGTGTCTTCCACTGTTGTGAGGACTCCTCTGCAAAGTCGCCCCTGAGAGGAGCCCTGTGTGTCCCTGCCATGCGCAGTCACTGGCACAGCCAGTGGAGCTGGGCCCTGGCACAGCACGCAGCTGCCAAGGCGTGGATTTCACAGCTCTTCTGCTGCAGCCCTCAGTCATTTGCTCCCCTTTGTTGGAGTTATTTTAGGAAACTTTCTTTTCACAGCCGCCACAAGTTCTTTCTGCATGAAGTTACCCTGGTTACAGCCGTGTGCGTTAAGAGACATGACCCCGTGACCTTGCGCATGGCTGATGGGGTGAGAGATGAGGTCTCTGAGCCAAAAGCCATCATGATGGGGCGAGTTTGTGAGAAACTCTGCCTCATCAGGGTGTTACTTGTTGGGTGGTGGCCACCTGGCCCAGCCAGAATCTCCTTGGGGCTGGAGGAAGGTGCAAGGTGAACAGAGAAGTGAGTCCCACCAGCATTTGCCTCCCAGAGGACCAGAGTCTCCTCCTGTAGCGCTTCCCCCTCGTGGGGACTCTGGAAACCCAGCGCACTTGGCTGCTGAGAGGTTTCCTGTGCCTCCTGACTTCCTCGTGGACAAGAACAAACTGGCCCGCCACGGCCATGCTAACTGCAAGCAAAAACATTTATTGAGAGGTTGTTGTGTGTCAATAACTTCATATTCAACATCTCATTTATCCTCACAATGCTAGGCCTCACAGCAACCAGCGCCCCATTAGCCTCCATTGCCTCTTCTGCCAGGGTTCGAGTATCCCCTGGAACATGATGGTACGACCATGAAGGACCCAAGTCCACAGATGCCTGGTGCATCTTGGAGTATTGACGTTATGTCACGATTATTACTATTATTCTTGGTAGTGGTAGTGGTGGTGGGAAAAAGTTGTGAAATTTAACCAATAAGTAAACATTGAGAACATCATCTTCGTATTAAAACAAACATATTATAGAGTACAGAATTTGCATAAATTTTCAATATTAAACGAGATATCCACAAAGTTTGGCACTGCTGCTGGCTGTTTGGATCTAGATTTCCAGACCCTCAGGGATATGACTTCTTAAAATTATTTTTAAAAATGTAAATAATAAATGAATATGCTTAATAATATCTTACAAATAAGGGGAAAGTTCTCTTTGACCATACCCCCCAATCCTGATTTCTTCTCTTCCTCCCTCATCAGAAGTAATCCCTCTTGTCAGTTTGGTGAGTAGTTTTCCAGCACTTTCTGCACATATATGTGTCCCAGAGAAAATATATAATCTATTTTTATTTTGATATAAATTATGTCATACTTTACATGAATATAACATATTATTCTACATATTCTGCAACATGCTTTTTTTTTTTTGTGAGGACGATCAGCCCTGAGCTAACATCCATGCCAATCCTCCTCTTTTTGCTGAGGAAGACTGGCTCCTGGGCTAACATCCGTGCCCATCTTCCTCCACTTTATGTGGGATGCCGCCACAGCATGGCCTGACAAGCGGTGCCTTGGTGCGCACCTGGGATCCGAACCCGGGCCGCCAGCAGCGGAGCGCACACACTTAACCGCCACGCCATGGGGCTGGTCCCTGCAACATGCTTTTTTCATTCAGTCATACAGTCAGGAGATCTGTCCATGTTACTATATAGAGTGTACCTTCTCCTTTTTAACTTCTGTGTAGTAGTCCACTGTATGAATGTGCCCTTGCTACTTACTTATTCCCCAATTAATTGGTTTCTGACTTTTGTTATTACAAACAACGCTGCAGTGAACATCCTTGTACGTTCTTCTGTGCGCACACGTGCAAGGGTTTCTCTAGGGTAGATACTGAGTGGTGAAGTTTCTGTGTCCCAGTGTACGTGCCTTTAACATTTTAATGATATTACCATTAAATGGTGGACTTGAAGAAAAAGTGGTGGCCTTGAAGGATTACATGGACGTGAAGTGGTTAAAACTTCCAAGTGGTGGGACTTGAAGGATTATATGAGGAAACTTTCTTTTATCACTGGTTTCAGCCGTGCCCCGGAGGACAGCATAGCTTTTTGGTCATTTTCAGCTGTAAGAACAGTCTCTTTTTTTTTTAAAGTTGGCGTGTTGTTTTTTTTTTAGAGGAAGATTGGCCCTGTGCTAACATCTGTTCTCAATCTTCCTCTTTTTCTTTTTTTCTCCCCAAAGCCCCAGTACATAGTTGTGTATCATAGTTGTAGAGTTGTAGCTCTTCTATATGGGATGCTGCCTCAGCATGGCTTGATGAGCGATGAGTACGTCTGCGCCCAGGATCCGAACCAGCGAACCCTGGGCCGTGGAAGCGGAATGCGTGTACTTAACCGCTACGCCAACAGGTCAGCCCCCGAACAGTCTTATTTTTAGGGATGAAAAAGTCCAGTCCAGCATAATTCAAAATTTCAACATCACGTCCAATTTAAAGTGACCTGATATATACAAATATCAAATCATTATGTTGTACACTTGAAACTAATATAATGTTATATGTAAATTGTACCTCAATAAAAAAATAAATAAAATAAAATATGTATTATCTGTACAAAAATGATTCTGGATGGAGATATACCAAAATGTTAACAATCCTTAGGGGCAGGCCCCACGGCTTAGCGGTTAAGTGCGCGCGCTCCGCTACTGGCGGCCCGGGATTGGATCCCGGGCGCGCACCGACGCACCGCTTGTCCGGCCATGCTGAGGCCGCGTCCCACATACAGCAACTAGAAGGGTGTGCAACTATAACATACAACTATCTACTGAGGCTTTGGGGAGAAAAAGGGGGAAAAAAAACCACAATCCTTATCTCTGAATGATCATATGACTTACGATTTTTAACATTTGGTTATATATATTTTCTGATTTAATAAATGAATTTGTCATTTTTAAAAGGAAAAAAAATAAAGTGACTTGAAGTGGAAAAGGGAGAAGGCTCTGTCTTTCACTCTCTTCTCAATCTCCCTCCTTCCCCAGAATCCTCCCACCCCGGCTCTGCTGGCTCCTTCAAGGTTTAGGTTAATTAGAGGAAAAGAGGTGGATTGACACGTGATTGGTGTGGCTATACTCTGGGACCCCTGTCATGACAGGAGTCTGAAGACTGCTGCTTTGATGGGAGGTGTTGTTGGGTCCTTCAGAGATGATATAGGCAGACATTCTTTTTTTAAAAAATTGAGGTAACATTGGTTTATAACATAAATATTTCAGGCGTACCTCATTATATTTCAACTTTTGTATACACTACGTCATGTTCCCCACCAAAAGTCTAGTTGCCTTCTGTCACTGTACACATGTGCCCCTTTACCCGGTTTGCTCCCTCCCCTCTGTCCCCCTTCTGTTACGGCACAAACGGTGTGATCTGCTCACCGCAAGACAAAAGCCAATCGTCAAAAGGCAAGATGGTGGAAAAGAAAGGGCAGTTTATTATAGCTTGCTAGCAAGGGGGAAGATGGCCAACTAATGTCTCAAAGAACCATCTTCCAGAACAAAGACTACAGGCAGATTATATAGAGGGCTGGTCTCCTAGTGGAGGAGGCATCTGGTCCCAGGGTGGGGGCATCCATCTGATTACTGGGTGGAGGCAGCTGGTCTCAGGGTGGGGGCATCCATCTGGTCTCAGTTCCTGGTGGTCCTTTGTTTTATTTGATATGCATCAGAGACTGGAGCAACGCCCTCTACCCTGATCTTTCAGTTGTCATTGGCGATGGCTATCAGCAGAGACTCTCTGCCCCCGGGGTCATCACATTCCTAAGGAACTCAAAAGAAGAAAGTTATCAACTTATAGCAGCTGGGAGGGGCCATAAAATCCAGAGTTAGTCAGATGTCATTCTAAATTACAATATGGTTTCTTTTCTACAATGTGGCTTCCCTTATGTCAACCTTGTGTTGAGCTGGTATCACTTCCCCTCTGGTAACCACCAATCTGTTTTCTGTATCTATGTTTGTTTGTTTATCTTCCACATATGAGTGAAATCATAGGGTATTTGTCTTTCTCCAGGCAGACACTCTTGGGCTGACCTCTTGTGACAACCCCTCAGCTTCTGCTCTGGTCCCCCTCCCCCCACCCCAGAGTTACATTCCTGCCAGGTCCCTGTGCCAAGGCAGGTGGTGATCTTGGGCAGGGGCCTGTCACAACACCTTCAGCCCAGCTACTTTTGGCGGCATTTACTTGGCCTAGGGTGTCTCATATAAGATGAGGGCGACCTCCTTTCTCTCTCCTTGTCTGGCCATCTTGGGCTGCTCTGATTCTCAAATCCTCCAGGTGGGAAGCCAGCACTGATCTCCATATTCATGTAGGTCTCCAAACCCTTGGGAACACGTGTCAGGCTCTCCTCGGCACTTCTCACCAACCTTCATCTGGGCCTTCCAGTTCCTGCAGCTCAGGGCAGGAGAGGTACCTCCAGCCTCCATGAGGGGTTCTTTTGGAGCAACCCTCTCCCTTGCTTCTAGGTGTGGGGAGCCCTTTATGGGGGACAGGAGGGGAAATGCCACGGCTCTGTATTCCATTGAGGTATGTGATGAGGATGGAATTTTCACAGCTGGATCTGCTCTCTCACTAGGAAGTCCCAAAGGGTGTGTCTGCAGTTCTCCTTAGAAGGTGGGGCAGCGTATCAATCATGTACCGTCCTCAGCTTTGGGGCTTTAAACAAAAATTCTATCAATTTACACTCCCAACAGCACCGTATGAGAATATAGTCTCCCTAAATCTTCTCCAGCACTCAATATCAAACTCAAATTCTTTTTTCTTTTTGTCAATGTGATGGGAAATAAATAAATAAACAGCATCCCATTGTTCTTATATTTTAACTTTTTTTGTGCTTTTTTTTTTTGTGAGGAGATCAGCCCTGTGCTAACATCTGCCAATCCTCCACTTTTTTTGCTGAGGAAGACTGGCCGTGGGCTAACATCCATGCCTGTCTTCCTCCACTTTATATGGGACGCCGCCGCAGCATGGCTTGCCAAGCGGTGCGTCGGTGCGTGCCCGGGATCTGAACCGGTGAACCCTGGGCCTCCACAGCAGAGCGCGAGCACTTAAAGGCTTGTGCCACCGGGCCGGCCCCTGTTCTTGTATTTCAATTTATATATTTCTCATTGCATGTATTTGTTGACCAGTTATTTTCCTCTTCTAAGAATTGCCTGTTCATATCACTTGCTCATTTTTCTTGATAAGTTACAGTGGTTCTTTATATATCCTGCATACTTATCCTTTGTCTTTTACATACATAAGTTGCAAATATTTTCGTCTAATCTGACAGCTTTTCCTTTAACTTTATGGAGTTCTTATGGTTTTTAGAGGAAAAGTTTGAAAGGCTCTGACCTAAGTGTCATCTGCACGGGGTTGTTTGTGCCCTCAAAGTGCCTGGATGACGACACACACTTCTCTCTGCACCATGAGCTCCTCCTGGAGGGACAGGGCTTCTGACTCCCGAGCACCTGCTCTTCGTATCAATGTCTCCACTGCTCTACTTGTAGGAAAATTCCTTGTCCCTAAAATATTTCTAACTGGAGTTTAAAACTTGAACCCTAACTTGTTTAGAACATCCCACTTCCAATGCAACTGCACCTTACATAGGTAGTGGGTTTTACTGAGTGCTTTCAAATCTATAATCTCATCTGATCCTCTTGAGGGTTGGAGGAGGATCAGGATTATGTTCCCATCTTATTGGAGAAAACTGAGGCTCTCAGCAGTTCCTGATGGCAACTGTGATGGTGCCAGGCCTGGAGCCCAAGTCTTTTCAAATCTTGGCCTGTCTTGACTTGACCTCTCACACAGTCATTACATAATCCCCATCTTAAAAGAATTCTGAAGAATTTGCCGGGGAAACGTGCCAGGTACTCTGAGATCCTCAGAAGCAACGGTGTGTTAGTAAAATTGAAGGTGATCATAGACAATTTAAATTGTTCCTACTGTTTTTCTGGCTTCTGCCTGAGAGTCTAGGCTGAGTAGGGAATTTAGCAAGGCTGGGTGGAGCTGGGAGTTTCAGGAAAGGACTCAAAAGCCAGGAAACACCCCCGCTTTAGTTGCCCAAGGCCTGGTTGAATGGATAGAAACAGCTCCCACTGTGTAAACACATTTCCTTTTTCTTTAAACCATCATGAAACTTTGTGAACCGAATAGTATGAGATCCAATGTCACAGAGTTTTTAATGAAATGGGATACACTCATGATATAAGCGAGAGACAACAAGCAAAGCATCATAACAAACTGTATATCCACTGTGGTCGCAATTATGAGAAAAAATTTCTCTGAAAGAAAAAAAAAGATAAAAGAAATGCCAAAACATGTCACCCATGGGATTCCTGGTGATTTAACTTTTCTTCATCTTTCTCTACGGTCTCCCCATTTTCGGCAGTGACGGGTGCCATCTGAATGTCCCTGAGGTGGAAGAGTGAGGGCTCGGAGAGAGACGTCGCGTGGGACTGCGCTAAGAGTGCTGTTAGGTGGGAACTATCATGCTATTCTTTTTCAAACCAATGAAGATACTGATGCTCAGAAAAGGGAACACAAGTAGGAAGTGGCAAAGCTGATTCAGTCTAACTCAGAGCTAGTTCACAGCTCAAGGCCATGAGGTAAATTCTGTCTCTGGAGGGGAAGTTCTCCCAATGATAGGTTGGTTTTACTGGGACAGGCTTGGCCTTCATCAGTGACTCATACATGAGAATGTCCTCTTTTTGGTACTTTCATAATTCTGCTGATTCAGTCAGAAGAAAGTCTCCATTTGGGACTCAGATCCTTAGCACCTCTCTGACACTTACTCCTCTTTGTTTTTTTTTTTTTTT